CCTTGAACCGATTTATTTAGTTTAATGCGATTTTTTTTATTATATTATAATAATTTAAGTTTACTTGTTTATTTTTTACCCTAGAGTCTTGAATCAGAAAAGGGACCACCTGTCAACATTTGCGGAGTCTCTTGGCAAAGCAAGGGTGATGATCTATCCTCCTGCAAAGAGAGTCTCAAAATTGGGGGAAACGCTTACAGATTTGGTGGAAGTGGTTGAGAAAAAACACAAGCGACTTCTTGCTCGCAAATCAATAATTGAAAAGCGCAAAGAAGAACAAGAACGCCAGCATTTAGAAATGGTATACCTTATTTAGCTTCATTTTCTTGTTGCATTTGCTAGTTGTTTTGTTACTTAAGAAAGAGGTGTTGAAGATGTCTAATTTTGTTGTGTTGCTTGTGAATGCTGAAGATACGAGAAGAGGAAGCCAAGAGGCTGAAATTACAGAAGATAAGTGAGGAAGAAGAACAGAAAAGGCTTGTGAATTTGAGCAAATGAAGAATCAAAGAATTCGGAGGGAAATAGAGGAGCGTGCGATGGAAGAAGCTCAAACTTTGCTGCTAGAAGCTAAAAATCATATAAGAAGAAAGGAAAGAAACCTGTGTTAGAGGGAGTAAGTTGGCTGGCTGATCTCTACATTTAGTTTCTCCATTCTATTTTTAGATCTGAATGATTTCCTTAATTAATGTCATTTGGATTCAGGAAAATTTAACAAGGGAGGAGTTGATGGAGCTTGCTCGTAATGATTTACTCAAGGAGAAGCAAGAAATGGAGAAAAACTTGTGAAACTCAGCAAGACTATGGATTACTTGGAGAGGGCAAAATGAGAGGAGGCAGCCCCACTTATTGAAGCTTCGTTCCAACGGCTGTTAGTTGAAGAAGAGGCTTTACACAAACTTGAAAATCAGGTTTGAATCAGGGATTTTGTTTTGAGCTGGAATATATTTGTTTATAATTTGTCTTTTAATTTAATGCAATAAAGAGGCTTTCTTTTTCTTATTCTGAAGCTGCACTTGAATTTTTGCATTGCTATGGATTGATTTTTGAATTGTGTGTGTTTTTCTGTGATAGTGTATTTGCTTATCTTATTTAATCTTGATACAGAGAGAAGTTGATGCTACCAGACAACGACATGCTGGAGATCTGGAGGGAAAACGGAGGCTAAGCAGA